TGACAATGGGAACAGACCTTTGAATATCAAGAGATGCTAGGATATAGCTAGCCATAAATGGAAAATTCACAATACGGAATTTGAAATCATCACGTTTATCATACAGCTTGATGGAAATCTGTCCATGTTGGTTTCGGTGAAGGAAAAAATTGAAATAAGCAGCTGTTGTAGAAGAGTATGTAGTGTCTCTGATTTCCATATTCTGGTGGGTTTATATGATGTTCGTGGTCAATAAATGTCTTGTTACGTAAAGACAAGACGCGATCAATATATCTGAAAGTGAAATTAAACCAAAATAATTGAAAAAAAAAACTTACAGAAAATATCTACATTATGGTATGCTAATTTTCTTGAGCTGGTAATATATACTAGATAATTAACACTTGAAATGAACCCATAGCTATCAAGATTTACCTATTTAATCAAAACAACTCTGATTACAGGTCGTTCGTATCGTCCTATTTTATCATCACAACCTGCAAGCAAGACCGACTACATCAATGCAGTGTTCGTTCCGGTAAAAATTATATCTAAATATTTCCTAAAATTAAAAAGCTAAAAGTTACGTAATAAAATATGTAATCACTCAATTTGCGAGACCAACCAATAGCAACATCAGCTGATTCTGAAGATCTGATTTGAATCGTTTTCTTTAAAAATTAATTAATTATATGGTACCATTTTTATTTCTCTATATGAACAATCTAATTGTTGTCATATATTTAGTTTTCATATCCGAATACATTATTACAGAGTCTCCAGAGCTATGATGGATATATAGTCACTCAATGGCCCCTCCTGCACACTGCTGATGACTTTTGGACGATGATTTACGACTACAAATCTATGGCTATTGCTATCCTGGATAGCGATGCTGATACCAATGTCAGTTGATATCTAAATTTTCGTACAGAATTTCAGAAATCTAAAAATAAAAAAAATATATTATTCCGCTGTTATACATTGTGTATGTATCTAATATGGCAAAGTTTAAATCATGAAACAAACAAATTTGTGGAAGAAGCAATCGAAAATACGACGATATATAACATTAATAAAATTCAGTTCCTTACGTAAGCGACGGTGCCAGGGGATAAGCAAATCCGTTGAGTGAACTTCAACAATAATATCGAATATATATTATATCTATTGATATGCTGTGGATCAAAAATTGTATCGAACATTTAGAAATGGAACTGTCTTTGTTTATTTTCTACACAAATTCTTTCGATTTGATATCATTATAGGATGACCTTGGTCTGTAATAGTTAAGGGCTTCTTTGTTTCTATTTTCTATTCTGATGAATAAACAATGTGTATAGTAGTCCACTCTCCTAAATTAAAGAACAGAGTGATATTGATATCTTTATAAGCTTAAACACATTGCTCGATTGTTTGGTCGTTGCACACCCTATTTTTTATCTATTGTATATTTATATCTAATTTCTTTTTTGGGGGGAGGGGGTAGAAAGAAGTGTGAGCTATACTTACACAAACAATAACACATTTATGAAACGTTATTGACAAGCTCTATCTAACCATAATCATGCGATGCTTCAGTTTCATCGCAGTTTTCCAAAATAATAGCAAAATGATAAATCTTGCATTAAAGATCAAAAGATTTATATTAAATAATTCAATTCATATGTGTTTTATCTTGTCAAATTCATTTGTAAATCTATACCTCTTGATATTTTTTTACAAAGGATCCAAAACTGATGCCATCACAGGAAGAATCAGAAATAACAGCAGGGAATTTTACTGTACAAATATCTGGTAACTCCCGAACTGAGAGTTCTGTAGCGATGACAGAAGTCTGCCTCTCTAAAATGGTAGGTTGGCGTTACACCTGTAATTGTATTTTATACCTAAACGTGTTCAATTGTACCGAATACATATAATTGAATTTGGACTAAGTTTTCCAACTTATATTATGTTCGTTTTTGATAACATATTTTTGTGTTAATGTATACAAGATGGCATTTTAGCTGAATGTTTGTTAAAAAGTGTACATTAGAATGAGAAATATAGAAAACCTACAGGAAGTAAGTGAGGTTGGAGGGCGATAATCTGGTAAACGTATCCGTCATCGACTACCATTTACATAGCATTTAAGGGTTCATCTAAATATCTTAAGTAGATTTAGATTAAGATTTGTTAAAATATCGTTATAGAAATGCTTCCAAATAAAACATCAAAATTTTACCTAATGCAAAATTTATTTTGATTGCATCCACATGATTGGCGTTTTGTTATATCTGCCGAGATGAAATCACCGTTTGATTGTGTATTACATCAATCATTTTTAAAAAAGGAAAACATTATTATTTTATGAAAATATTTTGCAGGGAGATGATGCTTCACACAAAATCAAGATATTCCGAGTTTGTAACTGGCCCCAGGATCAGCAAAAGTGTGCCGAGGGGCGCGTCACAGAGATTGCGTACGCAGTACATGAATGCCAGAGAAACTTTACTTCCGGCGGTCCTGTCACTGTCGTTTGCAGGTTTGTGTAACGTTATGCTGATCGGTCATTTTCTATAGTTATTGTATTTCATTGATGCTTTTTCAGTTCCACGGAAGTCAATATATACTTGTAAAAACAAATAAAAATTCCTACATTATTTCATTTGTCGGAGTCTCAGATCTATTTCAGATCTATCAATTTCTCCTAATTACTTAATATTCATTATTATCAAATATTAGATTAAGAATATTTTATGTTGATTCTCTTGTTTTATAATGAGAAGATCTAGACGAATTAATGATATTCATTGTTCTAGTGTGAATTATTTTACCAACTGGAAAGTTACAATTCTAGATTTCGTTTATGTAAAATGTAAAATTCCAAAGTAAAAAGTAAAACGTTGAAGGGACATGGACTAAAAGATGTCCATAAGCAATATACATCATTAGGTCTATTATTAAATATAAGATTATGAATATCAAGGTAATGATATTTAAAATTAATCTGTAATATTCCAAAAGAAACTGTTGGTTTAACAATTTATTATCCCAATTTCGCGTCTGAACATGTAATGGAAATGTTCTGTTTATATTTCAGGGACGGGTCTTCAAAATGTGGGATATTTTGCACTGTTGCAAATGCTATTGAAAATATCAACCTTAACCAGCAAGTCAGTCTGATTCAGGTGGTGAGACAGCTTCAGTTGCGACGCCCATCTTTCATCAGTACCTATGTGAGTTGCACTTCTTTAATCATATCTGCACGTTAGTTTGTCATTTGAATATTTCAATAAGGTGTTCTAGTGAATGGTGGACCCCATAGAAATGATAAATATCGGAACAATATATATTTACTATTGATTTTTGTGAATTGTCTTTAATAGATATATTTAAGTTATTGCTGAAAATCAATTAATTCCCGAAGAGTGTTGAAAACCACGCGGACATCATTAGTTTCATCAGGCGTAGTCATTATGTATTTCATATTTTCTTGTGTTAAATCTTCTTCATGTGTTTCTTAATTTCAGAACAAAATATTTTTTTAAAAACTTCTTAGTGTGAAATACAAAAATCAAGACTCTTTGTGTATTTCCACGGACATGCAATTCTTTAATAACAATGAATAACAATATACAAACCTGATACAGCGCAATATTGGATTTGAAAAATAACCGTAACGCACTCTATCTCACTTGTGTAATTATCGTGTAACAAGCGAATCGCATACATTGCTCCACATACGTTCCTCCGGAACACCTGGTTTCATTCTTGTGCGGAGTCTCTGTGCATTGCATTGTTCATATTTTGCCTTAGATTCATTGACTTTGATATTGTTGTTGTGTCTGTATTCTCTATGCTGTTTTACTGCTTTTATTCTAATCTGACTTATCAATATCCATTTTACAGGAGAGTTACGTCATGTGCAATCGAGAAGTAAAGGTACACTTCGATGCGTTGTCAGAATACCAAAACTACGAAGGACCATCATCCTAGGCCACAGATTAAAATTGCAGTCGCGTCTTTAAGCCACAGTGCAATGTAAAAACCAATCAAACTGACAGCATTTTCTACATTTAGATAGAGAAACATGCTCATATCAGCAACATTGACATTTCCCCGCTACAAGTATGGAATAAAAAATATTCGTATCATTATCAACAGACTTGATAGAAAAATGGTATTCAATGTTCATAATTCAACTTCTACAGTTTTGCAATGGTATTCTATAATAATTATATACAGTAATAACTGTATTGCAAGGTACTAAAATATACATTTGTATATCTGATACTGAACCTAAAGTAGGACTAATGGAACTAGTGCTGTTATGCCTCTTTTGGTCTTTCAATCAAACATGAAATATGTTATTATCAATATTTTTCTGTCAGTAACAATCATTAGTGGTCTCTTAACGATTTCGTGTATGCAACAATGAATACAGACTTTTTACATTGAATTGAGCTGTAATCTGTTCACTAGTAATATCAAAATTTAACAGAAATTACTCAGCAAAATGTTTCCTTGGTTAGTAATATTATATTGCTATTATTTAGCCTATTTTCCGGTCACCTGAAATTTCGTCTTAGTTGACTGTGCAGTTGCCTTTTGGTCACTGTCGTTTGTCATGGGTAATTCGTCTGTAATCAATTGACATTTTCGACTTCTCCAAAACCCCTAAAACAAATTTGCAGAAACGTTCTAAGGCCGAAGGTGAACTAAAATTTAGAATTACGTGGTCGCCACATACAGAGGCAATGAAAACGGGATGAAAATGAGTCACATGGTTTTATATTTCCAAAATTACATTTTGATCACAACTTGAATAATTTACATTGGATTTATACACAGGTGCTTAGAACTTTCAGCATTTGATGAAATAAATTTGCATAACATTAATTTCATGCAAATGTTATGTTACAATAACCTAAACGATAGTTTTTAAAGGTTACTGATGACTGATGAAAAAGTAACAATCGAAGTAGTAATATTATTTCAAGTTAGAGTCTCACATTTTTCATTGTTGCTTGTATACTAATTCTTTAATATACATACAAACATACATACGAACGAATATACCATTTGAGATTTGATTATTACTACACTGCTAGAGAACAAGTTTCCTTTGTAAATATACACATAGATAAAGATTATGTAAAAAATTAAATACCTATATATCACACAACTCATATGATTTATGGTAACAAGTCCATATTTGTCATTTCTGTATTATAATCGTTTTAAGTGATATAATGCGATCAGATAGATTATTATTCAATATTTTGCTAAGAATATTTGTTTAAATTCATGCTGTTAACATTCGAATGTTTGAAAACTTTTTTTTTCTTTTTTGTTTTGTTTTTTTTGTTTTTTGTCATTATGCATTGCTTGAGACATGTAAACAAACTTCTAGACTAAGTTTTTTTTATTACTTTATATCAAATCTAGATGCCTTATGTGACAATATTTCATTCACCATGTATTTTATAGATGTGTCAATGTTAAGCTTCATTTCTGTTAATATGTCTGAATTTTCTTTACTTTTGATGAATGTGTTATTTTTACTGGCTACGGTACGAAATGTATATGACTTTAAGCCATGTTGAATTGGCTGTCTGTTATGTGTCGTCTTATATTTCCTTCAAATGTCTTCTTTGAAAATAATGTAAGGGATTCTCTCCTATTTCAAAGATTACATTTGCTTTAAAAATATCGTAGGTTCATATTAATGATCAGAACTATCAAGCACATCTTTAACTCAAGATATTACAAGAGTGTCCGATTTCAGACTGTCTCTTTTATACTTCGGATGGACAAATTATTGATATTGTGTTAATTCTTTCTTCTTCTAAGCAATGAATAACATATTAGCATTGGTCTTTATCGAATACAGTAGACCCTTGATAACCTAATAATCTTCGTTGCCGGCTAAAATTGCCCGGATCACGATTTTTCTCTGCTGTGTCGAGTAACATATGTATCATTATTGACAACATTTTAACAAATGACGGGATTGGTCGAGCACAGACAAGAAACTAATCATATCAAAGAATTAACTATTTCAAAATTTCAAAACGGTCCAAGTAAGGATTTTTGACACATGAAAATGATAAAATCAAGAAATGACATAATAATACTGAAAAAATCTGTATTGTATTTCAGTGAATTCAGATTTCCTTTTGTATTGCTTGATATATCGACATTCTCAGTCTTAAGGATGACAGGATAAATGACCATTTAACTTATATGTGTATGTAGTGCATAGACAAATATATCTTAAAGTCTGTACTACATTATTGGTCTTTGTAATTACATTCAAATTTAAAGTTTTAAACAAAACGATACCTTTGTACAGTAGCGCATGCCAAAAAATCTTAATCTCTCTACATACAATTGACATTACTTGTGTTTACGTTGTTCATTAGAATCAACAATCCGGAGGCAATCTCGATATTGTTCTATAAACTTGATTTTGGGACACCCATCTTCAGCGCATGCGTCACCAATTTCGTAGCTTCCAGTGCACAACCCCAATGTAGCGTGACTCCTGAACCACCATGACCGTAGTTATGGACTATCTATACAAACAAAACATTACGGTATATATATTATCTACAAACCTCTCCAAATTGCGACAAAAATTAAATTGGGAATCAATGTTCAATAACATTGACTGAAATAGACACTAAAACTTGGGAGGTGCACTACTCCGGCAATTTTATAATTTTCTTCATTTTCATAACATTATGATGTCACGTTGTATAATATCGAAATCTCTTTTCAATACTGATACATTACTGAAATAAATGTGTATTAGCACGGATAATATTCATATGGTTGTTTTGTTATCATCACTGATATCATACTACCTGGCAGATGTTTCATTACTACTGTAAAACTATTATAGTAATTGTTTTAAATAACGCTAAAAGTTGTGATGATTTTGAATGGATCAAAAATCATGTCAAATCATATCATAAGCATTACATTAATTGCCTTTGTAAATACTCAGAAGCCAGTACATTGTAGTCGCTAACTTGTTAAACACAACAGTTAAAGTGAACAGTTAAAGACACGCCCGCGATGAACTTTTGTATTTATATTGGTATGTTTTGTGGTTGATATTTATAACACTTACTATAACTCTTTTTCCTGTGTTTGTCTGTTTATTTTCAAGTTCCACTCTTATTCCGGTTCGCTGTGGTCGTAAACCCATCCATTCATCAAGTATTTTGGCATTCTTTGAAGATAATATCAAGGAAAAAAGGAAACAATAATTCAAGAATCGTAAACTCAATGAAATCCAAAAGCATGCATACTGACATTCCCAACTAACCTGGAACCGAAACTAATTTCATATGTCATTGATTTTGACGTGACGTTCTTATTTTCGTATTAAATACATGTTGTAATGCTACGAATATGTTCTTGCTAACAAAGTAATTTGTCTATGATGCGACGATCATATGAATACATGCAGCACAAAAAGATATGTCATGTCAGATAGCCAGAGAAGATGCGGTCAAAGTGTTTTACAAGTTTATACCTTTAAACTAGGTAGCAGTTTACAACAACCGTTCCATATATGATCACGGTCACTGATGTTCACTTGTGTGTTCCAGTTTCCCACTTGACTGGTGCCTCCTACGACCACGTCGCGTGCACTGTGTAAACGAGACAAACATGTGTTCGTCATACTTCTTCAGTGTTAGCTATACTAAATATCATACATTGATCGTATTTGACTACTAATACTGTAAAGGTAGTAATTTTCACGGATAAAAAAGGGACTATTTTCTCTTAAAATGATCGAAACAAATCAAAATTTTACGATCTGAATGTAAAAGGTACATTTGATATTTCAAGGATTTACTTTTCGCAAAAGAGCAACCATATCATCCCTGCGAAAATAACTGGCTATATAGTATGTTCATATGGTGAATTAGATACGGTGTGCTTATTCTTTATATTGCCTTAGATTGACGTGACTTATAAAACAATCATTATTTTCATAAAGTAAATAGATCGCTATGTATAAACTTTTTTTCCTCTTTCTGAAATTTCGTAGAAATAAAAGAATTCTAACTCATTTATTGTAATGTTATGTTCCAACGAAAATCTGTCAATGTCGGTATAGATATATTACTCACAGGATGATTCTAAATCCGACTGCCATTGGTGCTATACACAGATAAAGCTAGTCACCAAAAAGGGTGAAATTAATCTTTGAGTTGAAAAATTCATAAACCACTACTGATACAAAGACAGCAGGAACATATATTAGATAAATCAGTTTACTTTTAAGTTACCCAAAACATGCCAACTTGTATATAGACATTTACTTCTTTAGGATAATGATGTTTTAAAGACCTTTAGAGATGACGTGAATCTCTGCTTACCCTGGAAGAACATAATACTCGTTGTCTGGGTCTGTAGGGTCAATGTCTACATAGAAATGTTTGATCCACGGAGCATGCACCTGTTGAAAAAAAACAATAACACAATATTTAACACAAAACCGTAATTTAACTCAAATTTGACGACACCGTAAATTTTGACAATTAATCAAACGATGTATGTAAAATCAAATAAGAACAGGTTTCATACAAAACCATCAAGTATACCAACGAACAATGATCAATAAGCATAGCAGCACTCATGTCATCAGAACTAACAACTTGTATTAACATAGGAGTCTTTATAACCATTATCACATAGTTATTCCAACGACAATATTTTTACTGAATTATCTATATTCTAACTTAACTTGTTAGGCGTCAAATTACAGCTGTATTTCCATTTGTGGTGCCTACGAATGTATTTTTCTACAATACCATCATTTTGTTTTTAGTATGTTTGAGATTTTCAAAATGATCTTATTATGAAAATAACTAAATACATTGAATTATTCGGCTAATGCACCTCCCCATCCAGATTTTAATTTTTTTTTCGATCATTAGATTTTCTTCAATCGCCTCCTAGGTTTCAAAATTTAGGCCCTTATCTTCACTAACGAATCCTACTTGTAAAATTAAAAATTAACGAAACAGCTGCATGATGCAGTTTAATTCGTTTTTGGCAATATTCTTAATTAAGGTGTTATTGTTTAGTGTGTCCTATTGAAAACGTTCTCAGAATTTAAAACTGATAAAATGCTACCATGAATTACCGTAATAATTCAAAAACGTAAATGCTGACATCGCGAAAATTAGGATAGTACATCACATTTAGGGAATAGACAACAACGGGTAATTGTTTGAAACAAAAACATCGATTTTATATCTCTACCTTATCATTAAGATATGTATACTGTCATGTCTGTCTGTTCTAGTTATCAGCTCCTGGAAAACTAGATTATAAGGCATCACATTTGTAATTTCTATTGCAATACACTTCATATTTACTTTGTATTCGCTATATACAGGTTAGGATTTTTGTAGTTTGCACTTTCATCCATGACGTCACAACGATCGCAAAAAGAATACAATAGTATACTGTGGATTCATTTATTTTCGTTGGGTTCAATTTTCGTTGTTTCTACAAATTAGACAGTTTCGTGGACTATAAATTCGTACAGTACTCACCCTAAACACTTGACCTCGTACTGGACGCAGGTCATGATCTCCGAGCATTTGATATGATCCAAGTCCAGTGCAGTTAACTAATACGTCATAGTAAGGCGAGAGCTAAAAAGAACAGTCATCCTTCTATAGACTTGAAGTTCCATAACACCTCAAATCACTGTGAATTTCTTTGAACCAATGTGAATTCATTCGAATCATTGGGAATGTCCTTGCACTTGATGTTTTTTAAAAGAATTGTATAGAATTTATTTTTTTCATTTTCCCATACATATATATTTTAGACATCTTTTATGTACACATGAAATATATCAACAAATAAATAATTACCATAAATCATAGCTATAAATTTGATAATAAAAAATTAATTATTTTATTAATCACAGATACCTCATCTAAGGACGATATATGTCGTTTCTGTACAATGCCACCATTCGCCTGAAATCTGAAAACAGGAAAAAAGAGATATATGTCATAGGTATCAGTTACATCATGCTAGAAGCCTTCTTTCTTTTTTCCAGTATATTGAAACAAGCTTTTTTGAAACTTACTTGAACGGCTTTAATAATCGTCAAAATTATGGCAAAGTGTTCTGAGGCAGAACTATCAGACGGAAATAGCAAACATCAGACCAGTCGAATGATAACATAATAGTTTTAATATGGCGTAAAAAATAAAAAGTACTCTGTATATTAACTAAAATAACTTTACAATAAATGATTTGTAAAAGCAATACATTGATTATATACATATGTACATAAAAAGAGAAAGAGACAATCACTTTTTCATCAGCCATGGAAGGTAGGCTTTCACGTCAATCATCACCGTTGTTAGTGTTTGACCATTCCTTGAAAACAAAAGATGTTTCTAATCTGATAAATAAATAAAAATATTTATCTTTTCAATGAAAATAGAAAAAATAATGGCAATAACTGGAGGTCAATATATGTCTTAATATGAAATAAGGAATGCCTCAAACTGAGAGCAATGTAGTTCATACAATAAGCGGTACTCTTGTTATTTATATATATCTATGTTAAGTTTGTATGAATTGTTTTAATCTATTGGTATATTTTATTTCACATGTCAGGGGTTACTTTTTAAGCAATAGATAGGTCAGAAGTTCTTTCACTTCTACAAAAATTTTCCAAGAAACCATCTATTCACGACTGATTACACAGATTATGTTTATAGGGATTATTTATTATAAACACATTTAATTTTGACCGTCGTCTGTTCTGTCTTTTGAGTCAATGACAGAACAGAGTCTTGTGAGTTTCCGACGATGAATTTCTACATACAGCGCTACCACATAACCAAAATGGTCACATTCTCTGAGATAGGTATCCTAATATATGACAATAGATGGAACGAGTTTTATCGTTTTTGTGGAACTGGAACATTTCTATCGGAAGTTGAGTACAAAACGTTACCTGATTTCAGGATGGATGAATGTCTCCTCTTTGGTAAGGTTCCGCACACCGAAACATTTGTCAACAAAGAGTACCTAGATGAAGTAGAAATGAAAAAAGTTGTTATGTGTTACTGTCAATAATGTCAATAATATTAAAAAAATCAAGGTTAAACACAAGCTTAACAGAAACGTGGTCAATAAGATACATCAATTCATTAGACAGATCCTCTGAAGGATATTTTTTGCATTACACCGTCTAATGAGATCCATAAAATGTAAAATATTTGATTTGTTAGACATTTCACCGACATTTTGAGAACATCAGTAAGAACCAAACGATTTCCTTATTGCACGTGAGCCTCGTGGAATATCATATATATAAAACATTAGATCAATGATAAGACGAGGGTCCTGTTTTACATAAATGTTTTATTAAATATCATAACGCTAATGCAGAACATGTAATGTCCATTATCATATATTGTAAGTACTGACGCAATGTAGGCATCCTTACATTATAATTGTATTCACATGTTGGCATGTTCTTGTTTTCAAATCCTAGATTGTAGACTACGTTCATTTTTATTCATACATACTGCACTTTCAGAAAAGCAGTATCCTGATATAAGCTGGGCTCCTACTTCCCCGCCATGTTCAGAACGAAATAAGTCAAAGATATAGTCGAAAGTAAGATTTCCCCATTTACTGCAAAAAAGATAATTGTAAAAGGTAATTACATTTTAATGTCATAGTATAACAACACAGTTATTTCATTTCATGAGCTCTCTTGTGATGTTACTCAGCTTCTCTAAAATGTCTTCATAATAATTAATTCATAGATCATTTAATAAATAATTAGGAAGACTGTTCAACTCGTGCAAACAATTAGATAATAACTTAGAATATGAAATATTCTAAATAAGAAAATGGATATGTCGAACAATTAATACAATTTATAATATATGTCATTTTAAAGCTTATAAGTAATATTTGATTAAAACATGAATTTTCACTTTGTTCGATACAGAAACATGTATCATGGTATATACGGAATGGCATTAAAGACACAATGAAAACAGACAGTCCGTACAGAGTCTCAATCTGATCGAGAAAAAAATAAACTGCCACGGCAGAATAACAATCTGCCAACACAAAATAATTTAAATGTTCCAGGGCAGAATGATATGAATTTGGGATTAGCTTTCTATCATTCGAGGGTAAAATGCATGTTGGACACGATACAAAAATATTTTTGTTCAGCCCTAGCAAAACGACAAATTGGCTATGCGGAATAATAAAACTTTGGCATTAGCTTTAATGATAAAATATTATGTGTGAATGCATACCTTTCCACCATACCTAATGCCTAATGACAAAATATCCTTAATGCGCTTCCGTACGCCTCCTTAGGATGTCATTAAGGTCGCACGTATAATCTTACTTGATATCACCAGCTTGTTCTGGGTTTACAAGATGAGGACCCCAAAAACCACCAGATCCATCAGAGGTTGTGTTCGGGCTGAACTTGTCTGCTACTATTGTAACTGTCACATGTGTAGATAGTTCCTGTTGTATACAGACAGCTGTGGAAAGTCCTATGACACCAGCACCTATTACACAGATCTTGAGCGGAGCCATGCTGATTTACAATAACTAGTGGCCAGTTTAAAGCAGAGATATATGTATAACAACACGTTATAACATCGAGCAGAATGTTTACTAACTGGTACTTACAGTAGTGTCACATTGACTTGCTTGAGATAAAATCTAGCTGTTATCAAGAGGAAACGAATCGAAAGGTCAAACACACACGCCCTCACGCATGTCCACACATACATTGTGTAGTCTATAAATACTTTTGTTGAGACGCATATAATGAGTTAGGTGTCCTGTCGTGAATCGTATGGATCATACTATTGGTAGTTTTAATGCGTTAGTCTCAATGAGTCTCGTTTCGAACAAAACCCATATTAAAGTCGGTTAAGATAAATATATAAATACCCAATTCATACATATTGTCTTTAATCTTTTGAGTATGCAAACACCCTAATTATTGTACAAAAGAAATACAAGTAAAGAGCACTTTTAATAAAAAAAAAATTGAGTTAGATATGATAGAGCAAATCAATGAATGAAAATGCGCCATACAGGCGTTTCGTCCTTCAAGACTAGTCAAGTACGTGCATATGTGCCCTTATTAAATATTCAAAATATCAGAAATGGCGGCATATTCGGTGACGTCACGTACCGTTCATCATATCCGGTATTTCAGAACGGGACATACTATCATTGTCATATCCGTCACGTCACCTTCGCTACGTCATTTATGGAAATTCCCAATTTGGGTTATATTTAGATACACCATCAGTCGAAAGGGTATACGAACAATTGCTGAGATCACGTTCCGTTTGACATTGCCGTCGTATTTTAATGAACAAAACAACAATAATTATAATATTTTATTTGATTCAGCAGGCAATCGTACATTAAGTAATATTTTCACAAAACAAAATCAGCTTAATCAACTTCATATGAATTTTTCACAGTCTTCTTTTTTAATAAAATACAGTACTCAAAACAGAAACTAAACGTTACCGTGGTTTTATTACAAGAGGGTTAAATACCTTAATCTGAGTTCTAGTAAAGCTATCGTTTAGCTTATTGTAACATATGTCATAAGATAATTTTGTTACCATTGTGCATGTTATGCCAATGTAAATTTTGCATAACATTTACTACATCCAATGCTGAAAATTCTATGACCCATGACAAACGACATAGCCCAAGTGACGACTGCACGGTCAATTGAGACGAAATTTCAGATGACCGGAAATAGGCTAAATATCAGCAATATAATATTACTACCCAAGGATGCCTTTTACTGAGTCATTTATGTTAAATTTTGATATCACTAGTGAACTGATTACAGCTCCATTCAATGTGAAAAGTCTGAAGTCATTGTTACATATACAAAATTGTTAAGAGACCACTTACAATTGTTACTGACTGAAAAATATCGTTAATAACATATTTCATGTTTGATTGAAAGACCAAAAGAGACATAACTGCACTAGTTCCATGAGTCCTACTTGAGTCTTACACAGTACATTTTGATGCAACGCAAGAAAGTTATTACTGTATGGAATTGAAACAGAATACATTCCAAAATTGTATTCAACTGTAGAAGTTGAATTGTGATAATGAAATTCAACTTTTCTATGAAGTCTGTGAATGATAATACGAATAAATTGTTGATACATTCCTGTAGCAGGAAAATGTCACTGTTGCTGATATGAGCATGTTTCTCTATCTAAATGTAGAAAATGACTGCTGTCAATTTGATCGGTTTTTAAATTGCACGGTGGGTTAGATACGAGACTCCATCTTTAATCTGTGGCCGAGGATGCTATATTCTAAAAACAAGAATAAAAAGCCAAGTGTTCAGAAGGATTGTTATGACGTTTGTGATTCTAATGTATGCGATACGCTTGTTCGCTATAACACAAATGACCTAAGCTCCATAAGGAATAGAAACGACCCGTATATGTTTTGTCACCTATGTAATGAAAGCATTGTGTCTTTACTTTGCTTCAGTAGATTATGTAGCACTAGAGCGATAATTAAACACGTGAGGTGAAGCGCGTTACGGTTATTTTTCAAATCCAAAACTGCGCTGGATCAGGTTTGTACATTATTACTCGTACTTATTAAAGAAAGATATGTTCATGAAAATATACAAAGATTGTTGTTTATTGTACATGATACGTAGATTTTAAAACAAATGTTTTGTTTTGAAATTTTAGAAATACCTTAATAAGGTTTAATACAGCAATTACTTAAATATCTATAGAAGACAAGTGACAAAAACTCAACAGTAAATATATAGTGAAGATCGGTATGAGGTCCACCTTTCACAAGAACATCCCACACAAATATCAAAATCACAATATAATAATATGATGACGTAATTGTCTGTCTTCTATTAATAGTGTATTTACAGAACGAAAATATAAAATTATTTAAATATGTAAAAATGTACAAATCACGCATCTCTCAATCCGCAGCTCTCAATCCGTAAGTACCAGTGGTGTCCATACCAGAACTCCTTTCTTCATGACTCACCTCAACAGCCATACACCGCTTTCTATTTCCACGACACTGTTTAATTTCAACAATTACCATCTTAAATTTCCTAATAATTAACCCTCAACCTGACCTGAATAGAATCAAGCCACATTACTGTCTAAATAATCCTTCTACTAATCTGAAAACAATGAACATCCAGTACAACTCACTAGACACTCTCCCAGACACACAAATGACCCGCTCTGACACTGCGTTTATCAGCCAATTGATTTGAATCACTGGACGCAATATCTAGCTCCTTGCCAAAAATGTTCTAGTCTACTCTTCAAGATATGAAGCATGAAGTGTCCATGAATCAGCCTAAGAGTCGTATCTCGCCTTTTGTGAGACATTTGCATTTTGATCTTGCACAACTTACATTAAGCTTTAAACCATGTGCAGACAGGTTCTTGTTTTGCAGCAAACGTATGTCCTTTATTACATCACACATACAGTGTATGCATTTTCGACACAAAAGAAAAAAAATATATACCTTACTTCATAAGCTTCACATGGCAGATTTCGTCGACGAAACAGAGAACGCTTTACCTTCCGGAGCACTTCGCTTTCGTTGACTCAAAAATATTCTTACTTATAATCAGAATTTCATATGACACTTTTGAAATTTATCGAAATGTCAAAACGGGAGGTGCACTAGTTTCATATTTCAATTAATTTCAAAGAATGTCACTCATTATGTATATTCTGAATGATATCATTATTTGAATATAGTATAAGCAACAGACCTAACGATTATAGAGGTTAAGGGATAGTTATCAAGTGTCATGAAACAGAAATTGTGACACTGAATATAGTAAGGAAGTGTCAATATATACATATCAGCAAAACTGTCCTCCTGTACTAATAATTCTTTCTAAGTTATTTCCAATGGGAAATAACCAACGTTACGCTCCAAAATTTCCAGCATTTTATTCTACCATACCTGGGTGTTTAGAAGAAGATTTTTGAAATTTTTGGCCCCACCCATCAGCCACATTGGGGTCAGCACGGATCAACATGGGCATACCATCATGCTATTATCCTTCACTTATAATTCTAACCAAGTTTGAAACGTTTCCAACGGGAAATTAAACAGAATATGTTAAAAATCTATTTTTCCTATATAAGCTAGATTAATATTTACCCTCTCCCCACAGGGTAATAATGTGAGACCCTGGGATAATGACGTTCATAATTTTGGTAAAGCACCTTAAGATGCTTTCATCCATGACGAGTTTTTTTTTATTCTTCCATATCTGAGTATTGAGAAGACGATTTTTGAAATTCGAGTCAATTTGACCCCTTTTGGCCCCGCCTCTCTGGCCCCTGCAGAGTGGGACTGTATTATTCACAATTTTGGTTCATCTTAGGCCAGGTTTAATATCTGCAAAATTGCATTGAAATCGGATCAGGAGATTTGAGAAGAAGTTGAAAATGTTAAATTGTTAACGAACGTACGACGCACGACGCCGGATGAAGGTAATCGAAACAGGTCACCATGCATGAAGTTTGGAAGGTGCACTAGTCCTGAAATCCAACAAATTTAATTTTGAACCGTGCCATTATTCGGTTAAGTAAATAGTGTCATGCAGATTACAGCAAACTTCGGAACTGCAAGTCCACCAGCAATGTCTACTACGTGTTATCTCAAATTCTACAAAGCATAGGCAAAACACAAGTGAATGGCATTTTTCGATACAAATTTAGAATTAGATACAATGGAAGAAGATAGCGAAGTATCCGCTTCAAGTAGCCATTTCTTCTTCATGTTCTTGTCAGGGCCTCAATTTTGAAACCTTGTCGGTGGTTCAGGAAAACAAAAAATTGATCGAAGAAAATGGCAAATATAAATGTTATTGTTCAAAGTATTTATTCAACTAGAAAATGCCCATGATGCAGTAATGCTTCCGCTTCCTTGAACCCTGAAACACTTTTAACCAAGGTATCGAAGTAGAAAAAGCAATTGTTTGAAGCCACTGACGTCATTAGTGGCATGTCATGGGTTGGCGAAGGGACGAATATTGGCAGCATGCCAGATTCATAAAAAAATAACGTGGACAACATTTACCTACAAAAATAACAATTTTATTTATCATGTAGCTACAAAAACACACAGTTAAACAAACTTCAAACATTTGATTATGTCATGAGATTATGAAAGATGACGATGAAAGCTAAAGGTTGATGTTTTTTTTTGTTCTTTACAACTTCAATTTCCAATACAGGTACAATCCTTACATATATTAATCATTTAAGATGACTTTAAACTGGAACAGAACGCAAATTTCTTTAATACCTTTTCTCAACACCGATCATGTTCCAAACACATTTTACTAAAGGGTACAGAGTTATAGTGAGAATTAGATTTTCCCAACCTAACCTTAATTTAACCTAATAATGTATATTCTTTTTACGTGCTTTATTTTTCTCGAAACTTTTTAACCATATTCATGTTAAGTTAATTAGGTATGCGCGTTCTCAGACTAATAAACGAAAGTAAATGTAAGTTAAGAATTAACTAATGCATGTGCTAGTGTGTGGGCTAACATCGTATATACAGGAACAACTATTTACCCTACAGCAAGATGTCATTACCCACACGCATTGGTAATGTTAACATACGCATGCGTTGCCGTGTGATCATATGACTGAAGATACATTAACATGTTGTACGATATTTAGCGTAAAGATTTATTGAGAATTTCAATATCAAGCATATTAGATACATCCAAGCACTGAGTGAATTTCATATATTACCAGACATGCCAGTATCTAAACCATACTAGAATAAACTTACGTGTTATATCAGGCTCGTATATGGAAGTTATTTAATGTCATATATAAAGAATACTTTTGTTTCTCTCTTCAACTTAATACAACAACTGTTACGTTTTGTTTTTAATAAGCAAAAGTAAAACCAACACGTCATTTTTGTTTCGGTATTTGAGCAAAAAAATATGTTACATGAAAAAATCAATTCAATTCGTCAATGTTCAATGAAGTCTGTTAAAACAATGCACAAAATCAGATGTTGAATGCACCATTTGCGTTTTTTGTTTTTTGTTTCAAAATCTATGTCGTGTATCAAATACGTTTGCAACAGTCATAAAATACAATTCATCAACCTGTTTTAAGATATTACATTGATTTCATGCAACTAAATATATCTATAAATGACACTGACATAAGCTCTCAAAAATTATCCCATGTTTTAGGTCATATGACAGGGGCATAAAACAGTTGATAAACCGCCATTATCGAACCCTCTTAGCTGTCTATATATACTACTGATGGACAAATGGAACCGTATTAAGCAAATCAGAATGGTTCACCACTATCTTTGTCCAAAATCTGCATTCTTTCTGTGCTCAAGATTAAATTTTACATCTGGGTATTTAACGTCGAAAATAAATGAGAAAATCTTTGAATCCTTAGATAACAATAAAATATGATAAGGTTATTGAACACATAACTTGGCCTTGTTATCACAATAACATAAAATACTGACATATCACATTAATATGCATACAAAGTTTTCAAACTTCTACCTACAATACAAAGCATATGATATAATGGCGAACACTAATGGTAGCATACTGGCACTTGAAAACAAAGTAAACTACATAGAAATACATACAAATTATGCGGAATAGCTTGCACACGTACATTTTCCAAGCTTATTTTACATTTAAGTATGATATAGAAGTACTATGAAAATATAAAATTTATAGCTCTGACTTTTAAAACTAATACGATTAATCGCTATACATGTACGTCATAAGGCTTGGGTGTCCAAAACATTACATCAATATGGCGAAAAACGTTCTTAAGAAAGTCGCAAGAGTGCTTTAGTGTTGAATTAAGTATTTGTTGAAATGCCAGGGCATAATATGACACAATATGACACAAACGTGAAATGAAGAGGTACACTAAGTGACAAAACTAAAAAAAACAAGAACAAAAATACTGATGGATTTCCAAGGATATCATCCTCACCTCAAAAAAACTAGAGCCATGGAAGCATTTGTCTTCATACGAAGTAGCTCAAATTGTCTGGTCAGTTGAAAGATGATATACTGTAAGGTGTTTTTAGGAAGAGTGGGGTGCAAACCGAGCACTATCGTGGCCAATTAAAGGCACGTGATGGTCTTCATAGGTTAATACCGCAAAGCAAGCACATATTTTCTACATGTTAGATGTGAGACGAATTAAGAAATGTAAACCATTGCTTTCATAGACGAATGTTGAGAATTTGGGAGCGAAGGTTAATCAATATGATCATGCATTTCTCTGACACTTCAAACAATAGAAACTAGCAATAATCTCAATACATACAAAGTCATATCAATATAACAACGACTACAATTGCAGAGGAGTATAAAGAAATAATTTCCTATGTAACGTATGTCATTGTTTCCATGATGTCTTGCTATGGAATACAACCAGGTAGAAACAATTTATGAACAAAGTTACGCTGAAACTTTACTTTAAAATAACTGTGCACAGATATCCGTTTTAAAAACAACAAAGATAACACCCGTTGCCACCACGCTGAAATGAATGTACACAAAATCGCTTAAAAAGCACAATATACAATGTATTTCTGATTTGTTTCGTTTGAACATTTCAGTTCGTTGATAGACTTCGATACATCAAAAGCTGTTGTTTCTGTCTGTATATAGACTTAATTCGTGATCCATTTTCAGGATACGATACTCTTATGAAGACAAAGGAATATTACTGGTCGTCAATGAAAAGGTTGAGCAGAAGACGTGAAGCCGTATGGATGCAATTAAAGGGCATATGATCCATCGTTCTTGCGCAAAGATGCTGACTTCGTCGACGAGAGAACAGGGGCCTTCTTACTGATATGAACTAACTTTTTATATTCATTTCGAACCTGTAATACATAAATACATTCCTGAGTTATGTATCCAATTGTATCGACATAAAATTATACAATAGAAATATATAAAATACTCGTTGTAGTACTTCAGAACTTTCCACATGTGAATATCTTTGCGAGATGCACAAAAACACGTTTTTATGTTGTTTAACTGTTACGGGGGTTATTTATTCCTGCTATACATAAATCACGACGATTGTATGTTTTACTAAACCATTTTACCAATGCCCATCAGTATAATCAATCAATCATAATAAATATAAGGTTGTATTATACAATTTCCATTTAAATGTTTAATAAAATTGCAGATTCAGATATTCCCCCTTACCTTTTTATTGAGTAGACAATGGAAAATGAAGATGAAAAGGCCTTGAAGACTGTTTAATACTGTAAATATGTAAGCCATTGTGACAGTCTCTTCATTGAGGAAAAAATAGCCAAACACCCAGGTAAGACCGAGAAGAACCTCTAAGGCGAAAGCACCCTGTATCCAGGCCCTGAAACAAAACAACAAGATACAATCCAGAGGGAGTGTTTAATAATAGCTGATTTAACGTTTCAAGTTTTATATGTTTATTAACCACAAAAAGACAATTAAATATTAAAGATAAAGTCTTACTTAAAATTCCCGGCATTTGCCTTTTCTCTAGAAAATACATAATCCGAATGGCGACACACTGTGCTCATTGCGTAAGTCAATATCCCAGCATTCACCTGAAATGAACAACAAAATGACAAAATCTTATAAAATTGTCTTTCCTCATAGCAGCATAGTTATTTTAACTTAATATTTGATTAATTTCATTAAATGTGTTTCCTGTAGTAATTAATCGGTACAATAATTTTTATCAAAACTGTAACCATAGAGCTGTCTTTGGTCCATTCTTGTGTAGAATGTTGTTATCATATTGCTTTAAAATGATCGTCAACAACAATGTCAGAAAGAAAACCCCAAGAGGTCATATTTCGGTGAAAAAATTGAACTCCTTGACAAACCAAATGTGACATGATAAAAATGAAAGGGTTACAAAGTAGAAACAATAATAACACCATTTATGCGCATATTGTTTACGAATGAGATATTATGTACCAGCAAGACGGCAGCAACAGGTCCTGCAAAACTCCAGATGAAAAAACGGTCCGTTGTCAACCAGCAACTGCAAGGGATAAATATCACTAATTATGTAAACACTACCAACAACAACCTGTCTTTGATTAAGCAAATTATGTAACAAATCAATCAATGAGTGACACTGACTTCCATTCCTTAAAGAATTGAAACAAATATCAAAGTGCAAAGACGATGTCTCTTTTAAGTTGAGCTTCATCATTATTCCATAAAATTAAATGCCTGGTATTATAATTCTGTCCTTGTAATAATCCGTATACTTACTATTGTGGTGTGCCATAAGCTGTGAAGTCTATCCCGGCAGTGGTTGCCACTATAACTATAGGAATGCCTATGTAGAAGAGAGAAACAAACAACATAATATATATATAAATATATATATAAAACAAATCATATATGGTTTTTCTCTCAAATCGATTGAAAATTGTTTAATTTTGAAACTTTTCTTCTTGTTGTTTTTTCTGATATTATTGTTGTTTCTATCTTACATTCCTCTGTAATATTTCGTACCATATCCGGCCAGATAAAAGTATTTCAGGTTAGACTTGGCTGTATCGAAAACTTGGACCAACATAATGACGATCTGTACGGCCTCCATCAACATCCACGTGAAAGCAGACAGGAAAAAGAAATGCAACAGAAGGGCGATAACTGCACACGACACCTGTAGACGATAAACAGGAGACAACTGCTTCAGAAAATATGTTAAATCAAAATTTTTATCTTATGAGGAAGAAAATATGCCGTTTGATCAGAAGTCAAAATAACACGCGAGGAAAATACGCAATATTGATGTAATGAATTATTTTGAACGAATCCGTTAAATTCGTGTTTTACATGATACTGAACCAAATGTATTGTTTTACGGGGCTAAAGTTAACGACAAAGCCCTCTTACCTGTTTATCTGTCTGGTCAATACCAACGATGAAAGTAAGTTCGGCAGCAAACAGGGAAAAGACAAGATTTTTATGGATGGAATTCCTTTCACCCTGTAGTGGACTGGTAAACATAAGGTGTTAAAATATTAGTGTTATTGTAAGAAATGTATGTTACTCACACACAGCAAAATCTATACAACGATGAAGCGGTGAATGTGAATCCTATTCAGTATGCCCACATGAAATTGCTAAATTGGAATTTCAAACCTCGCACGCATTGTAGGTCCAGATTTATGAATACAGTGGAAATACGGACCTTACACAGTACACAAATAAAATCGTCTCACTCCACGAATTTCTAGAGAAGACAACCATTGGCCTTACATCCTGCATATCAAATAAATATAGGTAGTTAACAGGCCTTAGATCAGGATTTTTGCGGACAAACAAAATGTTACCCCGTACTCCATATATAGCAAGCCGTGTACTATGCAATCCTGTGTATTCCTAAAACAGTCTATCAACAGGTCATACACCCTGTATACCCATCGACAGGTGACCGTATTATGTATACCAAGTGAGAAGTAATTATAGGCCCTGCGTTATGTATACCTGAGACAGTTGAAGGTCAACCAGCTTGTGAAGAGGCTGATCAAAGAAATGATACATCCAGCATAAGTAATGTACCGCAGGATAGAGTGATGGTGACTAGACATCTGTAAATATAAATTCACACAATCATTTATTGAAAACGTATCCGTAGGTGAAAAATTTAATTTTGTAAAATATGTAAATCCTTCAAAAATGTTCTAAACAATTTCAAAACAAGTTACATAAAACATACCAATCAAATTCACTGTTTGTCTTGATAAGAGAGAATCGTTTATGTGGACCGCGCATTATGTATGATTCATTTTGAGTTTAAGTGCACTGAAGATTGCGTTACGATCAACATCGATAAGCTTTGCGATATCAGCAATTGATTCTTTCAATTTTATATGAAAGAATGGCCAAGATATCGTAGATATGAAATTGACCTTATGTGTCATGAAATGTCTTTTTTGCACATTTTATCACTGCATTTGCATTTTCTTTGTCACCTCGGTACATTTAGAGGCATCTAATAATGCTGTGATGTATGGCAGCCCATTGTCAGTTTTATTAATATAATTTGATATCGCCTGTAATGATTATGTGGAGATTTAATCCAAATCAATCATGATGTCGAAAAGCGGATATGGCGTAATGGTACGGAAGAATTTGATATTGTCTGATAAAGTAGATTATAAAGTTAAACATATTTTTTCAAACATTTCATTTGTTACAAGACACATACTGCTACTCCAGATACGTCCAGTAGAATGGCAAAGCTTGTTAGGTGATTACACTGACACGTGACACGATAGGGAGTCCTATTTGATACATCACATCCGCTCTGGGACCAGCTTCCCGATTCACTGTAATATGGATGAAAATCAAGTCACATTTATCGACAGACAGTATAATTGTGCTTTTTAATCGAAAGTATTTGAAATTAATTAAATTTAAAAATACTAAGATGATAAGAAGACTAGCTCACCCTTCGGAAAAGTTCCAGAATGAGCACAATGGCACAGATTCATCATCGATTGGCTGTAAAGAAAAGGGAATATTTATTTCATATTTCTGTAGGTTTCTAAAATTTCTATACCATATGCCATATGTTTCCTTAAAATGGAATAGAAAATAATATTTAATTCATTCTTCTATTTTTCAATCCATAAATATGACTTGCTTGCATTCGTGCAGAAGTAGCATATACATAGTAGTAAAGCATATGGCCGATAAATGTCAACTAAATTATTTTCTTCATCAACAGTGCATTTTTTCAAAGCGATGAAGTGACAAATAGGATAAATTGATTCGTGTATTTCTTAGAGAAACAAAATGAAGACTGTTGTAGTAAATGATCATCAGCAGGACATAATTCAGGATATCTTAATTCTTTATTTTCTTCCAGAGAAATACAACTGCACTTGTTTTTCACGATGTTGATAAAACTTAAACAACTGAAGTGTATATGTTTTTCTCATCTGCTTGACATGGTGATGCTGTGGTTGCTGGATAGCTCTTTCTCTTACCCTGGACAGCAAAATCCTCACTTTTTAACCGGTGTGAGATGTCCTTGTCTCTTACCCTGGTCAGGTAAATCCACACCTTTTACCAGTGTGAGATTTCCATTTCTCGCACCTCAGACAGCCTTATCCGATGTAGGTATTGAATAATTTCAGAGTAGTAAGTGCGAGAAAAAAACCTATTACATATATTACTGGGGTTTATCAGTATAGGGCTAATATCCTGTAACATCCTAACCTCGGCTAACGACTCGGTTGGGATTATGTGACAGGATCTTAGCCGTCGACTGAGATACCCCTATTTCGCTAAGTTACAGGGCTAAGATCCCGTAACATCCTAACCTCGGCTAACGCCTCGGATGGGATTACTTTACAGGATACTAGTAATAAAACGCCAGAATATGATCATTTTGGTGATTATCATAGTCAAAAACAGATCTTAGCTCTCGACTGAGATACACTGATCTCGCTCAGTAACAGGTAACAGATTTTATCAGTCTCGCCCTAAGGTAGAGATGGGTGATTCCCCTGTCAGAACAATGAGATGGAATCACAGGAACAATTCACTGACATCACGTCAATAATCAAATCATATCACTAATACGAAGCAATGAGACAACAAAACTATAAGTGAGTATCTGATAAAGCCAGCAGGGTAAGAGAAAATAATCCTTTATCTCCATGTTGGTGAGACAGGGTGATATCTACCCTCGGAAAAAATGTTTATGTTGCAAACACTCGTCAAGTCTACCTTGTTTGCTAGCTTCATCATCTTTTTCCTTAGGTTGATAGGTCCTACCTATCTCTCCTTCAAGAGTGTGAAAAAAGACACCTGGCACAAGCATTCAATTGGACATTGATGATGACGCGATGAATTGGTTTCTCAACAACTTACAATTTGTTCATGTGAAAACTATAATAAATGGAGTTATGCTCCATGACCTCGGATATCTTTGTATAACAAACCTGTAATAGTTGAAGTGAGAAGGTGACAGGCTGGGGGAGATTACTTGTGTCAGCATGACCAATCGACACACTAATGACATTACTCGCTATCTGTGGCGTTGCGTTAGACTCGTTCTCGGACACCAGAAATTCTCCAATGTCGGAATGTTTCATGAATATAACTTTGGACAGATCATCTGCGAAAAAAAAAGTGTTGTAATCACAGTTACTTTTTTTTTAATTAAAAACAGAAGTATGTTCTGAAAACTGTCACTCTGCCATAAGGTGGTGTCCTGTCTTTGACTATGATAATGGTCATGTTCTAGTGTTTTAATGTCATGTTTGCAATGCGAAGCCAGATCAAAAGATCCACTCTAAAGTTTTCCCTTTCCCATCTTATTTGTAATGTCATACAGTGAATATTGAAGGGAAAGTGTTGTCCTTCTTCTTGTCCTTAGGACTCCTTTGGTGGAAAGTTTTCTTACTTCGATTACTATAGTACCAACAATTCATGTTGAGTAGACTTCATGTCATGAGGGAACTAAACCAATGTGTTAAATTTATGTCACGACAGCTTTATTTTCTGCTACCTTTGATCTCAGTTAGAATAGCATTCTATTTCCAGCGGAGTCTGGATTGAAATATATTGGTGACTTATAATTATTTTCTAGCTCCAGTCAGTGTTTTTTGCTAGCTACATTTAACCAATTTTTCTGTGCCGTTACAGCAATACTTGAATATCAGTATATTCCCTTAGAGATCATATATAATCCACTGGAATTCATATATCACACACTCTGGACGCTTAACTGAAAGTGTGCATATATTTATAGGTAAACAGGAAAGTAAGAGATTAATTTTAAAATGCCATCTTGAATTTTTTGGAAAACGTGAAACCAGAATCGCTAGTTTGTTCTTCATACCATGATATAGTCTACATGGAAAATTATAATCTGTCCTTAACTAATTATTTATGCATGTTATTATTACTAATTTGAAAAATAACTATCGTCTCGCTTTAAACAAAATAGTTTATTCTAAATTATGAAATTTTAACGTTGAAACATTTAACCAAGAGTGATGTTCCCTTACCTGTGCTAAGTTGTTGAAGTACTGAAGCTGGAATAGATACCCTGTCTCCCTCGTCTGTGGCGTCCTCCCTCTCATTGTCACCACACACCAGCGCCTCCGACACGTCGCTCGTATTTACGACGTATAATTCCAATTCTAAAAACAGATACATGTAAATATCGATTGATTAATATATACCAAATAGTGATGTATCAGTACAAAAAAGTTAAGCCATCACATGTATTTGCTGATCGCTAAATTCTCAACCAAACTGTGCACATTTAATGGCGCGTCATACACATAAATAATGATTCATACATACGATACACACAAGTGTCTTGAAGAATTATGTTGATGCAAATATACCATCAACCGCAACCATGGTGCTTGACATTTTACTTTTAATGGCGCATTTTGATGGCGATAAAGTGAAAAGTCGTCGTTTAATTACAGTAAAAGTAAATATACTCTGTCATCGCGACAAAGCGCCGTTTGATAACATTCGATATTCAATATATTAAACGGTACTTTTTTCCGTGCCGATAAAGCTATAGGAAAGGGATGTAATCTGCTCCTGTAACAATGTGCCTGAATAATCATGTTAGTTCGTTTTATAGCTTTGTGTCATGATGTGCCTGAATAAGCATGTTAGTTCGTTTTATAGCTTTGTGTCATGATGTGCCTGAATAATCATGTTAGTTCGTTTTATAAATTTATGTAACAAGATTACCCATCTTTTCGCTGGAGGTTTTAATGACAGTTGGGACTTGAATCGCCTCCGCCATAGACGTTGTGCTATCCTCCATGGCGGAAAGAATACTGGCGGCCGCTCGACGTTTGTCTGTCCGTCTTACGTCCGCCGACCTTTCAGTGTTTGCTACAAGATTACTGCCCGCCCTCACCAGCTCCTACAGAGTATAGTACAAAACACATTAGAAGCATATCACAGACAACTATTCATTAACGAAGTTGTTTAAATATTCCAAAACACGCAAAACTTGGACGCTTGGGATGATAATGGTGCAGGACTTTGCGTGGAGCTTTATAAAATTTACACTGTTGACAAAAGCAATTATTTACCTTGACCAAAGTGACTGCTTGGGCTTCAGACTCTGGTCGGACGTTTGTCACTTTCCGCAGAATTGCTGTCGAGATTGAGATATCCGCCACGGACATTGATTTGGAAGTATCTGTTTTACTGACCAAGTCCTTGGCGATGTTGATAGCTTCCTTCGTGACAATAGGAGATTTGTCCGCTTTTCCAGGTGATACCTGCCAAGTAAAAAAAAACTATTATATCTGTTTATGTCCAATGTATATTACACAAGTTTTGATTTGTGCAATATCAACATCAGGTTTAGTTTCAAATAATTTCCTCACACTGACCCCTAACAATGTATTCAAACGCAAAAACTCGGGAAGGAGAAAATAATAGGTTTTTCTACATTGAGTTTTTAGTTTATTAAATTTTCATATTGTACAACCATCATACAAAGTCGTTTTATAATCATTGCTCATACCAGTGAGAAAGCAAGTATTTGACAAAAGTTTATCATCATTTCATATTCGCTCATCGTTTTTGACCGATAAACCATGGTCATTGCTTATAAGCCAATAAACATTGAACATGAGTGTACACACACTGAGAACATGTACGAACACGTTAATGTCTGTGAACATATGAATATATGAACATTGGCTGCGAGTCTGAGGACTGGAAGAAAGCACGGCTCTTCAAGACTCAACGGAAACTCGCAGTACCTAGCTTCATGTTCCTAAAGAAGCAGTCTTCATATTTTGTTACACAAATTTGCCCGTGAATTGTGACGTAACGGTCATGTGTGCTTACCCTCAGCATCAGATCTTTAAATTGTTTTGATGCGCATGCTTGAGTGTCCGGTTTCTTTGCCCATCTAACTGGGCTCCTCTCGCACTGCCACGTAGCCGTACCTTTTTAAACAATACGAATTCATTTACACCACATCACTTACTGTCTTTTTATATTGCAGGTATATTTTTGCATTATTAAACTTTCAAAAACAATGAAAAGTAGCAATTTTATGTAAGCATATTTCATGTATTTATTCAATTAATCATTAAACATTTCGCAGATTTTCCAATTGATATGTATATTGAAAATTTCAACGAATGCTTAAAGAGCTTTCAGAGCCGACAAACTCACCTGAACCTTTCTGGCACGGTATTGACCTGCTTTCACCTTTCTCAGTTTCGGGCCAAATTAGCCCATAAGCCACACGTCTAGGACAATGAGTTTGAGACTTTGGGGCTGGTATTTTCGTGCTTATTTTTGCCTCATTTATAGGAAAATCTGTACCGGGTGTCCTGCTTGTGGACATGTGTTTATCTGTTTCAGTCGATTCATTGTCTTCAGGCATATTTGATGTTACTTTGATATATGGTTTTGTTGTTGAAATTTTGTTCAGATCTGTCGTTTCCGGTGTAGATAATGTCTCTTTTGTTTGCAACAATTTAGTACTTTTGGTCATTCTTGGCGTCGTCGTTTTAGTTTTTGGACGTTTGGTAGCGGTGGTTTTTGTTACAACCCTAATGGTACTGGTGCTAGTGGTGGCGATAGTTGTTGTAGTGGTCGTCTGCTTCTGGGTTGTGGTCATTGGAACGGAAGTGGTTGAGGGTGTGGGTGGAGGTGTAACTGGAAAATAGCATAATTTTGAAATTCAGCTTTGTTCTGAAAACTCACAAACCTCGTATGAATATTTTTTTATTAGCTGATAAAACAAATATTCCAACATTAACGGCATCACAAGTTACAGTGACAGGCAAACACTCCACACGTTTTTACGATGGTAGCTAACACCAATACTCACTCAACAACATTCACACTCACATTACTTTTTTCCGGGATGATACTTACTTTTATTCCATTCACAGATGTAAAATCGATGTGTGTTACATTGTACGTCGTTAAGCCTTCCACCAATCTGGAACTCGGCACAGAATTCGTCCCCACGGCCATTGTTTGGCTCGCCCGGACTCCAAGGCCTGGCAAAATAAATGTAAGCAATAACTTTGGGTACATAACGTAACACATCAAACACCCTAGCAGATTTTGTTTTAAAAGGTAATATCTTTCCTAACCACACAGAGTTTATTTATGTAAATTATCATGTTTTTTTTTTTTCAGTCTATGCAGAAATTTGTCTGTGTTGCAAGAAACGGATGCATCTACCGTGCATTACATCTTTATCACAAAGATGACGTCACATTTTAAAATGTATTCCATAGCAATACGCTCACATGCGCATTACTTTCAATTCAGTACTTTGATCATGAAATAAATTTTGTATATGTTTTCATGCCATTGGTAACTAAAAATGTTTAAAGTCAATGACGGGTTTTGTACAACAAGTTTATAATAAATCCGTATAGATAATATGACTCACGTGACTCTTCCGTTGAGCTCCGCTCCGTCTGACCACCGCCACACCGAGCGACTTTCGTTATGACGAAGTCCCACCCACCAACGGTCCTGGTTTGGTTTTTTTATTATATTTGTCAAATGTCTCATCATCTTCATCTGTTCACAAAACGACACCAAAAATGTTTATACTTATTATAAAACCATCCTGATCGAGCATAAGCAAAAAAAGTACATGTATATAACTTCGTGTTATTTTTTTATTTCTGATATCGTCAAAATGTTAAAGAATTAGTTTTCTTGTTTTTACCTTCTCGGCCATGGACCCGATGGACGCGAGGTTAGCACCCTCCTCTGAACATTTTGCTGTTGCGGAGTCCCATGTTTGGTATTCCTTCACGAACTTGTAACAAGCCCGATGAACTTTAACCCATGGTTTGGGACATCGTAGAGGTCCACTGGTGGTAACTATGCACATAAAAGTCATTACACATTGATAGAAGATTCGAAATTATGTCATGAAGTAAACAGGACAAACAAATACTGAAAATAAGACCAAGGTATTATACCTGTTTTTTTTTTTTTTTTTGTTTTTTGTTTTGTCTAGGTCGCAAAAACACAACAAACAAGACAGACAAAAAAAAAGAAAAACAAACAATCAAACAACCAAAACAAAACAGAAAATAAGAAATGAAATGGGGACTTTCATCTGTGTACTGAAAACATCGCATCTAAATCTACATGTGATTCCATCAAATGCTTACACTAAATATGAGAAAAGATAACATATGTATTAAGTATGCACTTCTTTCAATTAGACTTATGTAGCTTCTTTGAAAGATCAACAGCAAAGCATGTCAAAGTTGTTTACTTAATACTATATAACGTACAATATGAATTTAAAACGGATCGCTATAAAACATTCGGTGTAATAAGCTCGTTTATCAGGATCAATTTCCCGACACGTAACTGATAGAAGAATTAAGGGATAATACCAAAACGTAAATTAAGTGGGTGTGCTGAAATTTTACTCAGTACAGTAATAATGAAGTAACCACGTGGGTTTGTTTCCTCCATAATCTTGTGGAGATATATAGAACTATTAATAGTAGTCTATCTCACGTTTAGATTAGAATCTTAGGGGATCGTACTTTGCTTTAGAACCATACTTTTATCATAGAAATTATATTGGCTAGTTTTACTGCCTTCGCCAAAACGATTATACGAGAGTGCGATATTGCGACAAAATAGATAAGACACCTGTCGCATTAGTGGTGTATTTCTGTCGCAATTCTGTGGTATTTTGTCTCACCGTTACGCTACATGAAATTAACCACCATAAGAAACATAACTTTAATCAAATTGATTTGTATTTTATTTACAGTATGTCTGTCTTTAATTTAGAAGCCCAAGAACTGAATAGAACAAAAAATAATAAACAAATAACGCATGCTCTTTCACTGGTTTGGTATTTATGGGCAGCAATAACTTGGAAAAGGGTAAATACATTCTGCCAATAATAGATATTTACATTTCTATCAAGATTTCCATATTTTCAATATATTCTTTTATCAGATTTTATTACATTAATATGTCAACGCCATATTTAAGAAAAATGTTAATCATGCAACATACTTTAGAACAGTCAAAACCCTGGCTTGGCAAATGATAGTCAACGTCATCAACATAAGTTTATCATCATGACGTCATTTCAATAATAACATCAACGATTGGATTCGAAAAAGTTGATATTAACGTGGCGATGTCTGATAGGGGTGAGAATATTCAATATAAATCGTACTTATTTTTACAGAAACGAAAACATTTTTTGTAATGTATTATTGGCATGTTATCAAATCGTACATTAAACAAAGGAAAACGGCTAGTTTAAACGGCTTGCAATATTAACTCCGAGAAAACACAAAATAGATTATCCAATTGGCCAGGTTCTGAAATTCTTAAACGGGTCACCAAATGCTCTACCATTACACGAAATATTGGGGCAGGTGTTCCCAAACTTCACGTGCGTGCGCGTGTGTTTCACAAGTTTCACGAGATCTGATGTGCTTTAGGCATCAAGATGGACATAAATATTTAGAAGGAGGAAATTCACTATGACCCGAAACAGGTGTGAGATATGTAGGGTGGTGAAGGCGGCTAAGGACGGGAGGGGGAAAAGGAAAATACATTTTTGTATGTGGTATACGCGCTTTGCCTTCACTTTCACTGTTATGTTCCTTTCTTTCTACTTTTAATTCAATATTATTGGTATGACACATAAATCTTTGCTATATAAGAAGTAAAATGCTTTATCTAAGGGTCCAAGGTTATCTGTGTATTTGATGTAGCAATTTACACTATCTGACTTAACGCTGTCTATAAATACATTGTAGGATCCGTAAATACTTTGGAATATATCCAAACTTAAACATGATCGCAGGACTTGACGCCCTTGATGACACCGGAAATTATATGTATGATTGTAACCACGCCCCTGTGTATTAAAATATCCATCTCAGCCGAGTCTTTACCACATCAATCAGTCTAAAGATGACTTGTATTTACAATCATATAACATCTTTATCCATCGTATCGTTGGTTACTATAATGCAAAGACTTCTGAGAAATCATTTGCTCCAAATGTTATGTAATGAGCCTCGCTTATGTTGTTCAGTAAGGTAGTCACCAGCTTCTAAAAGGAGACCTTGACTACAAATGAAACTGGCTGTTCAGAGAAACCCAACGAGACAAATATTTCTTATTTTTAAAAAGCAAGCTCAGCACAATATCAACAAATGTGCAACTCACATGATGATGATGATGATGATGATGATGATGATGATGATGATGATGATATTTTTAAGGCGTCACAACCCATATGAACACGAGTGCAAATTGATAATTGACCCGAATCGTTAACAAGATGCGCGTGAAATTGATTGGTACGTCCATATATTAAAACATTGAGCATCATTTGTCCTTTAGGAAACATAACTAGCTGCAGGGACATGCATTCATGGAGTAGATATGCAGCATATACATGTCGTCTGTAGTCAATTATACTCGATAAAAAGCCTCGTACTTTCAGCTTTGAACTTGACTGTTTGTCAGTATAAATGAGACAGCTTTTAATGCATTTAATGATATATTCTCCCACAAAAAATATGCCACTTATCACTTTTATAAATGCCATTACAGTGCAGTCTAATGATCATATTTATATTCCCGCTATATCTAGCTATTTTATCTACATTATGATTCAATTTTATGGCACAGCGATCTTTTTGCGATTGCCGTCCCAATCAGGCTATGGCATTAATTATAATTTGCATTCGAGTAATAATGGAGATGTATGGAGTACTTATCACCTAGTAAGATTTTTGTCTGTAATCAAACGTTAGAGTGTCCGTTTGGAAACCGAATGGTCGCTAGTTGGAATCCCAGCGGGGACAGAATGCTTTTCATCATTCCTTCTTATTACAAAGGTACTAACTGTCTGACATTTCTGTCTAGTAGGCGCCAAGAAAAATGTCATGAAAATGTTACTATCCTATTTCTCGTAGAATTGCAGCAAGCTTATGTGCTCTACTAACACTGTATTAGAAATATGTAATTACTTATACCAGAAAAAAAATCCAGTTTAATGGCGTATAAAATGTCTCTGGTTTTTTTCCACATGGCTTCTATCCGAGACGAAGCACAACAGCTCCTGCACTTGTAACATGATAAACTTCTTTTCGAAAGGGGGCTGAGAATACCTTCAAGCGATAAACACTCGAAGCAAAATGGAAGACCATTGCATCTGACCCCACAACTTGTATCGTTACTTTGTCTCCTTTCTTAAAGAGAGTTTACAGACATGCTTTTTCAATTTCTCACTTATGGGTTTTTGTCTAAGACGGGATTACATAAAGAGGTAAAAGAGTCGACTGTTTAGGTGATTTTCAATCCTCGCCGTCTGGAGTACATTCCTGACATGCAATATGCGCTGGCTTTCCTATAACATCACAGCTGGAATGAGAGTTTTAAAACGTCCCAGATTTCCTTTAGGACACAAGAGAACACTGCACAGTGCTAACCTAGTCAACTTTTTCTGACAAAGTAAAGTGGAATTTTATTTTTGAAATGTGTAACTGTGTGTCAAATTTTCGTGTCGACATTTGGTTTTAAATATTTAACGTGTAACTTATCTTACCAGATATACTTTTTATGTTTTATGTCTTTTTAGCAACTACGAAATTAACTTTTTTGAAGAAAAGTGAACATGCAAATTTTTTTTAAAAAAATGAACAGTACAGGTGCATACGAGTGCAAGAGCTACACTTGAATTTGATATTCAAGTTGAAAGTTATTTCCCTTTAGATCCCATAATCAGAAATAAGAATAAAGATGTAAATATGGACTGGTCAAATTGGTCGTGCGTCATATTTTCCCCTCGGAGTTAAGCAAGTCACAAACATTGCATCTTTTCCAACTAATGTATATTTTTATCCATTCTGGGTTGCTATTTTTACTTATTCCTTAGCAACATTTATCGTATGGCTTATTCCTTAGCAACTTTTATCCTGTGGCATTACTCCTTAACGTACATGCTAACTCAAAAGCTGATTGGTTATTCGAATTCGTCTGTCTAATCGACATTCAACTTAACCTAGGTTGGTACAGTGTAGTATGAACTAGTTTTCTCATTGTCAATACAAATTGATCTCATGATACATTCTGCTCTCGTGTCCATATTGTGGCGTTCCGTAATTTTGTTACAATTCACGTGTTTGAAGCCAGTCTTGCCCCTGTGTGGGGCAGTCGCCAGTATCTGGAATCAGGTCGATGGCATTTCTGTGGGGACTCTGGCTTTCCTCTACCAACTAAACTGGGCTGGTCCTTAAATGACCCTGTCTGCTACAAACACGTAAAGCAATGATAAACATTTAACTGACTCTGGAAAGAGACTATTGATCACACTGATGAAGACATGGAGACAAAGGTATTTGGGTGCGAGAGTGAAAATGTATTTTTTTTTGTTTGGTTGCACATTATCTGAACGATTGTGTCTTTACAGCCCTTTTAGTAACACGGTTGTAATATGTATACTCTCTTATGTGAATAGTGGACTCGCTATACCCCATTTAGGTCAGTGCAAACCAACAACTGAGGTCTGATGAGGGGAGTATATATTTCATGAGTTTTTTTCTCTAAGTTTAATTCGGTCTGTTCAAATTAATGTATATATCGTCCCAATAATCCTCAAGCACATCTTTATAAATGGACAGTAAAATCATGCAATCGTCCATATGTTATATATTGCCTCGCAAGGGGACACGATTGCATACTCGCGAATGCTCAGCGGGAGTACAAGTCTTATCTTATTTGTCAAAAAAAAATGAGATTAAATCTTTAAAAATATTTCATATTAATGTGAAAGTTTTTAAAAACAAATATCCATCTTTATTTCCCTTTTTTATGTATCA